CCGTCAGAATTCCCATGATGCATTGCGTGAAGGGAGTTTTGTTAAAATTAGCTAAGTCTCCTGTTTGTTTGAAATACAAAATTTACATTCTTGTGGTATCACTATTAAAACCAGGAGTGAAGTCCCGTTTCATTTGAGAAGAACGGCTGCACTGATATTTTCTACCGCGGCTGATACCTGCGTGCAATTCTTTTGTGCGTCGTGTCCGCACGCAATTGACAACTCATTCCACGGGCCCACGTAGCGTGTGTGTTAATTTCCCTCCACCTTGAAACATGATACCGTGTGTGGTCACGTGACTCCGCCCCGCCCTGCTCAGCCTTCAGACCGCAGTCTGAAGCTCAGGAGATGTTAGCCAGCGCTAACCGCCTTCACTTTCCAGCAGACAGACTTTTACTAGCACTGCGACCTACACTGTACATTTACTGACAACTCGCTCGCACATTTCCTCGCCCAGACGCTCGCCACGCACCCGCACCTGTGATGTTGAGGTTTACGATGTGAGGTTCAGTTTAATTCGCTTCTCCATGGTCATACATCCTTGAATCTCTCGCGCTGCTCTTCTTCTTCTTCTTCTCGTCTTTTTGTTTGTAGTGCTGAATGAGTGACTTCCCGTCCACTAGATGTCATGGCATAACTGCCGCCTGCTTTACCAGAGGGGAACCCAGAGAACATAATAATACGCAGAGTGGGGTTTTTATTTTTTAGAAAGGTTAAAAATATGGGAGATTTCCAGGAAGAGATTTAAACGGGAGAGAACATAAAAATAAGGGAGAATCCTGGAAAAAACGGGACCGAGTTTAGATTGAAATCCGACTTCTGCAACTGATTTTTGGGATTAAATCAGAACCATCAGTTAATCAGAGGCTCTAGACCTGACAGGAAGTTCAGTCTCTGACTCCTTCCTGTTTGATTTAAAGTCTAAATAACTGCCTGTTTTTGGCGCTGCAGGTCGAGCATGGTGGGTCTGCCCAAAGTGAAGAGAGACAAGTTTTCAGTCTTCAACTTCCTGACTGTGACGGAGAGCAGAGAACCTCCAGGTACCTGATCCACCTGCAGGGGCGCTCAAAGCTCAGAGCCTTTAGACCTAAAGCCTGAACATTAACTCATCATATGTTTCCTCCTCCTCTCCTCAGCTCCTCCAAAGCCTCCGGGGGCTGGGAAGAGGTCTCGGTGGGACGTTTCAGACCAGGAGGGGGAGAAGAAGAACGACCCCCTTAGTGAGCTGCTCAGCGCTGCACGAAACCAAAGCGAGGTCAAACTGGAACAAACCTCCGTACCTGCTTTACCTGCGTCCACCAGCACCGACGATCAGACCCCCCGGCAGAGCGGAGGAGGTGAGTCCAGCGAAAGGGCTTTTTCCTCTTAGAGAGCGGGAACGTGATTGGACATCTGACCTCGTGTTCTCTTCACACAGACAAAGTCAGCGGGTCGGCCGAGCTCAGACGAGAAGAAAGGAGGTGACGAAGACCAGGAGGAGGAGGAGGAAGAGGAGGAGAGCCGGCCTCACATGGATCTGTTCAAAGCCATCTTCGCCGGCTCCTCTGATGAGAAATCCTCCTCTTCATCCGAGGGAGAGAGCGACGATGAGGAGGCCGTGAAGGAGGAGGAGCTCAAAGTCGAGCCGCAGCCGCTGAATCTCTTCAACATCACCTCCTCGCCGTCACCTCCTCCGCCACCACCGCGTCGGGCCAGCAGGCGGGTAAGAACAGATGAAACCTGACCAGACTGGTTTTACTGCACTGCTTGATTTGCATCATTCTGATGTTTTGAAGATACAGTGAATGTAAAGTAGATGGACGCTGCGTTCAAAGACAGAAACACGACATGCTGACGTTGTGAAATCAGCTGGTGTCTCACAGTGAGATCGAGGGACCAGAGGTTTCATCACGTTTCTGTCAACTTTGGTCTGAGACGGCTCAAAATCGCAGCGTAAAGGCGCCTTAAAGTTTAAAATAAAGTATAAATTTGCTGCAGTTGTCCAAATAAACAACAAACAATGTTTAAAATAAAAAGAGGCTGTTAGAAGCAGAAGCTGAGGCGTGTTGTTTCTGTGTCATTCTAACTTTTCATGCTGTTTGTCGTCTGTTTCTTTTTAAAGCGGCGGTTTCATCTCAGAACTCGACTCAAGAACAAGAAGAAGAAGAGTTTGGTCCGAAGCTGCCGCCTCCTTCAGCTGCTCTCAGTGAGTCCTCGCCATCCTCGCGCTCACTCTCAAACCTGAAAACGCGTGCAGCTTTCTTTTTATCCTGTTCACTTAATGTTTACAACCTCCTCTAGAAGCAAGAGAGAAGGAAAACTTTATTAAGTGGACGTAGCCGCCGTGACATCACCCGTTGGTTTGTGGACTACCGTTTTGAAGCCTCCAGTTTGCCTGTCGCCATTTATTTTTTTGGAACCAGACCATATTTGGATGAGAGGGTGGAGCTAACTAGCTGTCAATCAGCTTGTAGCCCCGCCCTAAAGCCTCCCCTGCTTCCTGGTCTCTGTTCCTCTAAATGGGACCATAATTTACTAAATGAACATCACGCTGTGTTGAAGAAGACTTGAAACTAGCGACTGAGACCATAAACTCATCAGGAAAGTGTTTACTGAGGGAATAAATCAGCTGAAAGTAGAAACATTTTCTCTTGGGGTGCTTTCACACCTGCCTCGTTAAGTTCGTTTGAATCGCACTAGAGTTCGTTTCCCCCCTTGGTGCGGTTCGTTTGGGCAGATGTGAACGCACCAAAAGCAGACCAAACTCTTCAAGGTGGTCTCGGTACGCTTTCAAACGAACTCTGGTGCGGTTCGCTTGTGGCGTGAAAGCAAACGAACCAACCACAGGATTTATTTCCAAAGCTAAACCACTAATAAATCCATCATCTGACCGCGAAATGTGTTCAGCGATCAAATAATTGATCTGTATATGCCATGCTGTGTTTATGAAAATCATTTTATAAGGTATAGCCTACTTGTCAGCGCGGGTATTTCCCTGATTAATAGGTTAAAATCTGTTTATAAAAGAGGGCAAGTCGTATTCACTTTACCCTGTCAGTTCATTAAAAAATGTGATCGTTACACCACAGAATACTGTAGGCGAATAAGCCCCGAATTATTCCTGGACACGTCCGTTTTTACGTTATTGTTCATAACAGGCTCTGCGGTTTGCGGTTACTTCTCTGGTTCATTTGTAAACCTGCAGTGTGAACACGAACCGGACCAGAACTCAAACTAATGAACCAAATGAACCGAACTACAGGTGTGAAAGCCCCCCGAGACTTCTTTACAATCACACTTCTTTCTGCAGCCGCTGGAGTCGCCCCCTGCTGGCTGTCAGAGAGGCTGTGTTGGAAACGGGCTAAACTGCCGACTCAGAAGGTGTCTAACAGCGAGGCATCGAGTGCTGTTCGAAACGGCTCGGACGACCTCTTCCTGTCTCCTGCGACGCCTTCAAGCTGCCCCAGTAACGGACGTTTTTTAAGGCAGCATCGATGCTGCCTATTGCCCATAAACCAGCGCGGCAGCAGACAAACAAGCTGAATTTTATTTCCATTTTTAGTCGTTTCCTCGCTCCGATTATTGAAAGGTTAGCGAGAACTAAACACTGAACTATTCTATTAGCCCGTGACTGTAAACAACCACGTTTGTTTTCAAGTCTGATTTCTGGGGCGTCTGTTCGCCATTTGGCTTTTCAATAGCTAGTTAGCTGATGCTAAGGCTAGCTAGAAGAGACGCAAGTTGGCGTGCTGACGTGCTGACGTCACACGTTGCCGTAGGTGCTGCCCTAGAAGGCTGTTCGAAACCAATGCAAACAGATAATCAGACACTCAGGACTCGTTAGGAGAGACGTTCACTGCTGGTTTTAGTCTGAATATGAGACGATCACCAGAGTAATATTTAAACGAGTTGGAGCAGCTGAACTCATCCAGCCACACGGTTCTCTGTGAATAAGGTGCAAACACGTGTTGCTGTAGCTCTGATGTCGACTGTTGTTCCCCTGTTCAGTGAGAGGAGGCGCCACCTCCGCCTGCTCCCCCCGTGAGGAGGAGAAACCCAACAAGAGGAGCAGAGAGAAGAAACACAAGAACAAGAAGCAGCACAAACACACAGAAGGAGAAGAAGGTAGAAAGTAGAAAAGGCAAAACAAAATGTCCCCTGATTGTTTGATTCTTCTTCTCTGACTCCATCTTCATTATTTCCCCCCAGAAGAAGAAACATAAGAAGCACAAACACAAAGGGAAACAGCAGAAGAAGAGTAAGAAGGAGGCGTCGGACAGCAGCTCAGAGGACAGTGATGAGGACAGCGACGGCGAACGGTGTCGACAGAGGAGCTGCTGAAAAGGTCAGAGGTCACGGAGACTTCGCACACGTTAATATTATAACTTGCCTGGTGTAATAAAATAACTTCTGTCTGTAGGAAACAGCCTCCGAGTTAAAACAGTGATCCTCCGTGTGTTCAAGGTTCTGTGAAGCAGGATTATGAATTCAGTCAGCTCCTCATTCAGACCTTTAATCTGAAGGATACATGAACAGCAGGAAGTGGGACACAAAGCCGAGAGAGTTTATTACCAGCGTTATTATTTTTACTCAAGGTCGTAATGAAAAAACTTAACCTTTTGTTTACATGCCAGCGTTTCCCACACTATATTAATGCCCTTGGAGTGTCTGTCTGACTGTCTCTTTGTCTCCGTCCCTCCTTCCAGACTGAAAAAGGTCCAGTCCCATCAGACCTGGTGAGGAACCAGGAAGTGTGTCCTCTGTGAGGACGAACAACCCGAAAATCACACAACAGAGTTGACCTCCGGTCTTCTTTAATTTTACACAACAGACAACCTGTTGTTTTGTTCATTTAAATAATAAAATGTCCCTCGTTTAACGTTGCTGCCTTGTTTTGTTGTCATTGATTCTTTTGACTGATTTATTTGTAGTTTTGTCTCCTTCAGAGTTGTTGGGAAAATTAAGTAGAATGTAGGGAAGAACAGTGGAAGAGGGAAAGGAGAAGGTAGGAATAGAACAGCCACACTCTGCAGATTGAAATAAAAACCTTTCTGTATTAGAAAACAGTTTACTGAAAGCCCGACTTCCCCCAGGAATGCTTTATTACATGTTCAATTGTGTCATGTCCCGCAGCTCCTGAAGGCAACATCTCGCGTTGGTCAGAGGGACTGTTGCTATGGTAACTGCCGCGGCGGGAGCTAAAGTCACTTGTAGCTAACAAACAAACCAAACTTTCTTCCCGAAAGTTTCTGAAATGGCGTCGAAAAACTTGGACCCTTTATCAATTGAGGAACCTCCAGGAGGAGAAAAGGAGGAGCGGACAGAGAGGAGAGAGGAGCCGGAGAGTGGAGCCAGGAGAGCCAGGTAAAAACTACGGCTAACGGCTAGCTAGGCGGCTAACGGCTAGCCCGACATGGTGCGTTCACTGACCGTCTTCATCAGTGAAGCAATGCAGGTTCTTTACTGTAGTAAAAGTACCAACTCTGTAAAAATACTCAATTACAAGTGAAAGTATTATCAGAAGAATGTGCTTAAAGTATCAAAGTAACTCAATGCAGCGAAGTGCCCGTTGTGAGCGTCGAATTTTACCTGAGACGTTCGTGCTGTGTGACTTAACGTTACCTGTATCGTTACATTAATGTTATTATCGTATTTTAGATTATTATTACTGATGCATTGATGTTCAAACAGCATTTTTATTGTGTTGGTTGAGGTGAGGCTCATCTTTAACTAGTTTACCCAGAAACAAACGTTAATGGTGATTTTCAGTGTGTATTAAAGTGATGATTATTTTGTTAGTCAATTTATTCTATATTAGAAGCAAAATTATCCAGAGCTGAAATTGTCTAATCTGAGAGGCTGAAACCAGAAAATGTGTCAAAACAGTCCCTGATAATTTTTTTAATATATGACAATTAGACTAATTGATTGACTGATCGTTTAAGCTCAATTTACTCTAACTTGACTTTGTCAAGAAACAAAAGATGCCAGATAAATATGATGGTGTAGTATTTCTCTTCCCTGGAGTAAAAGCAACTGCAAGAGTCCTGAAACTGAAGTAAGACTGAAGTAACAGTGGTGGACAGTAACTAAGAACATTTACTCAAGTACTGTACTTAAGTTTTCATGTCACTTTCTACTTTTACTCCACCACATCTCAGAGGGTCTCAGAGAAACTGTACTTTTTACTTCAGATCATTTATCTGACAGCTTCAGTTACATGAAGAGTTTATTAAATATGATGTTTGTTAAAAATTAATCTATCCAATAAATTATGTTTGTCATGTCAAGTATTTTAAAAAGCAGGTACTTAGTAGAAATTTAAATTTAAGACTTCTTTTAGTGCAGTAATGTTTAGCAAAGGTATTTGTACTTTTACTCAAGTAGAGGATCTGTGTACTTTGTCCACCACTGTTATAGAACTTGAGTAAATGTACTTGTTGGGCCTCATTATACATCAGAGGCTCGTCAAACGTTTGTAACAACAATACTTACTACAACCTTTTACCGTTTTGATATTAAGCAGTTAAATAGAATTAAGTAAAATGTGTTTATGGTGTTAATAGGAAGGAGACTGTGTGCGGTGATGTGTTGGTGTGTCTGCAGGTTCCAGTGAAGGTGTTGCGAGCTCACAGCGACGCCGTCACCGCCGCTCGACTCTGCTTTAACAACCGCTGCGTCCTCAGCTGCTCCTCAGACCGCACCGCCATCCTCTGGGTAAACTCCTCCTACCTTAATTTATAGATTCAGTCTGTGCATCCTGTCCAGAGTCAGTCACACCTGCAGCTGTGCAACACGACAGTCTGATGGTCTCTGAGCAGCTCATGTGGAGCTGGTGGTGCCTTGCTTAAAAGCACTTTAGTGGCAGTTATAAATGAGCTTTCTTTATCTTTCTTCTCTACATGCTTTTGATACTCTAGGTGCATCTCAGGTCTCTTATTTGTCATCGCTTCTCGCTTGAATCGAAAGTCGTTCTGGTCGGCCGTTTCCCAGACAGAAGAGTGAAGACAGATAAGAGATTAAACTCAAGTTTTACATTTTATTTGTTTTCTGTTTCAACATCTAGTGAAAAATCTGTGTTCACTGCAGGTCTGAACAACAAAACAACTTTCTGCATTTAGTAGAAATAATTTTCTTTTCATGATGTTATTTCCCCCAGTAACTTTTATTATGGATGCAGTTAAAGTCGGAGAGTCTGTCTGTCCGCAAGAAACACTTTCTACATCATTTATCATCATTTCCATTCAGTCACATGTGAGCTGATTATTCCTGGGTGTTCCTCAGTTACATCATTTCCCCCGAAACATTTAGCCTCATAAATCAAAAGACGCAATGATCATATTCCGGGTTGTTCAGTAATGACAACACTGACCCCAACACTGATTACAGATTTTACAGAGAGCCGTAGATTAGTACAAGCTGCAGGCTGCTCTTCATGTGCAGGTGAGAGGAAACATGCTGCTCTGCACTGATAACTGTGAGTCTTTAGTATCGGCACAGTGCGGACACAAACTCCATCAACAGTCTCTACAGCTGTTAGACGCACTGACAGCTGCAATCAGCTGATCAGCTCTAGTTACCTGCCGCCTCATCACATCACGGACGTCGCTTCACGTGTGACGCTTCAGAGGACAAACATATGCCCTCGTTTCTTCTCTCCTCGTATGGTTTCCTTGCGTCTCTCCGTGCTTCCGTGGCGGGACGCACTAAGACACGAGGGAAACTTGTGCAGAGCTAGCTGTGATGCTAAGCTGAAGCCTGTCCTGTTGACCTTTGACCTGTGCAGGACGTGGAGAGCTGCAGACCTCTGAGGGTGTTTGATGGACTTCATAGTAAAACCATCACTGAGTGCGCTCTGATCCCAAACAGCAACAGGTGAGTCTCAGCTGACAGCAGCTGTTCACAGCCAGGATGCTTTACCTGGATCAGGTTATTATGGATCAATCCATGGAGCTCACAGGAGGCATTTAACTTATGATTGACAGATACGCTACTAGTACGTATTGATTTTATACGTCGGATCAGTTAGATCTGTTAGTCAGACAGAAACAGGATGAAACCAGATTAAAGTCCTGCTGTTGTCCTTCAGAGCTGAAGGTAAATGTAGAGTTTGTCCTGAGGGTGGCGCTAGAGGACAGGTCAGAGGGTTACCTAGACCTCGAACACCAGGACAAATATCAAAAGAGGATTTTTAATCCTGAAAATGATCATAAAAACAACCTCAGCCTGTGTGTCCGTCAGGGCGGTGACAGTCTCCTGGGACAAGAACATGGTGGCCGCGGACCTGGAGACGGGACAGACTCTGGTAACTCTTCTTCTTCTTCTTCTCTCCGTCTGTGGTGGTTGCTGAGGGAGGACCAGAGATGCTCCTCTTCCTCCTAACATCGAGTTTTCAGTTTGACTGCAGTGTTGAAGAATCACACAGTGTTTTATAGTTTAATAATGAGACCTGATGAACGTGATGCTTCGGGTTATTTTAGATGTTCACATTCAATTTCAAAAAGGAAATAAATAAAGTTTAGGAAAAAAAGAAAAAAGTGTACATGTTCTGTACTCAAGATTAAAAAAGTATGATGTAGGTATCAGAACTCGTATCGCAGTCGTGGAAGAAGTACTCAGATGTTTTACTTTAGTAAAAATAGTAATACTGCAGTGTGGATACTAAAGGACAGTACTCACCCAGCCACAGCCGCTTCACCCTGCTGCCTTCTGGGAAGAGATATAGAAGCTTCTGCTGCCGCACCACCGGACTAAAGAGCAGCTTTTTTCCCCCCAAGCTTTCAGACTCTTAAACTGTAATTCATCCTCAGCACTGCTCCACTGATCATTGAATATTGTTTATTTCTGTTCCCATTTTATCAATATTAATGTATATTTTCTGCACATGTAGCAGAAGGGAGTTACAAACTCAACTTCACTGTATAAACTGTTAAAAATAAATGTACCTATCTAAGTAGAAATACAAGTAAAAGTCCTGCGTTCAGAATCAAGCATCAAAATATACTTAGAATACTTAGAAAAGTAAAAGTACTCAACACGCAGAATAACATACGATATTATTCGATTATAATTATTGATGCATTGATGTGTCACTTTTATACTTTATCTGC